GGGGGGGGGTGGGGGGGGGGGGGCTTCTCTTGGTTTCCTTTCGTTGTGAATCGTGATTTTGGTTGAAAATGGTTATATTCAGATGAAGCAAATAGCCACAGTGAACTTTCAACGAATATGTGAAGCTTATGAAATATTATCGGATGAGTATAAAAGGCAAATATATGACATATATGGCATGGAAGGTATAACTTCTGGTCTGGAGCTTGGTCCGAAGCTCAATAAAGTAGAAGAGTTGAAGGAAGAGCTTCAAAGGTTGCGAAAGAAGAAGGAAGAAGAGAAGATGTTTGCGCATTTTCGACCTTCTGGCACTATACTCGCCCATTTGTCCATGCCACAGTTTCTGGACGGTGATGGCATTATGCGAGGGTACAGTCCCTCCACCATTTTTAATTATTAGTTTAACCTTCATCCGATGTCAACTTCTAAAATGGTTTGATGATATCTCTGCATAACCTTACCAGAAACTTTCTAGAAGCATGTCATGTAAATTGTGAGGATCAACTTGAAAAAGTGTAATAACAAATTGTTTTTATGCAACACTGAACCCGAAAGGTTTTTGTGCTCTCTCTTGCCTTCTTACGTGCATGCACACCCAGCAAGCATAGGCAGTATTTTACTTTTGTTATCAAATGACGTTTCATTTTATTATGATTATCACGGTAGTCGGCAGTTATGCACGTTACTGTTAAATTGTGTGTTTCTTGAATTTTACTATTTTATCTTGTTTCTCAATATATGATCGCATTTCAGATGAGTGCTGTATCTTGTGCCTGCTTTCTTTGTTAACTGGTCTCTTGACTTCCTCTTCAGAATGGCTATGGCTAGCGAAGTTCAATCTCAATTATCTAAACGTACTGCGATTGCTATGGGTGGGAATTTGGAAGTTAATGGAAATTCTGGTGGTGCAGCTGCTTCGACTGTGCTCAGGCACCAGCTTTCTCCAGTTTCATCCATAGAATTCATAGCATCAGCTGGTTTACGAGCACTTATTGGTGTGCAAACAACACGGTAGGGAATTTGATTTTGGAACCTATATAACTATCTGGCACTTTTATTGGGTTTGCTTTATCTGTTTTTTTTTTTTTTTTCATCCGATCTTGTAGTAACCTATCTTCACACTCAACGGCTACAATTTCCATAGCAAAGTCTCTGAGGGATGGCTCAATTAATCTTTCCAATACCTGGACCCGCCAACTCTCTGAAACGGCAAATGGAAATGTAAATACTTTTTGTTCATTTATATGTGCTTTTCTTTCTGCTTTGTAGCATTAGCATGATTATATCACCGGATGTTTATTTCAAGCATTGAACCAAATCTGTCAGTGGCTCTGATTCATATTATCCCAAGATTTTCAATGCAGCTGATTTTATCTACCAGATAGAGCCTTTAACATAGTCAAAATAATAAAATAAAATAAAATACATTCTAGTATAATTACGCAGACGCTTAAAAAATATCAATTACCAATTTGATTTAGTGGAATTATGGGTAAGGTCAGAAAGGAAATAAAACAAAAGAGTTACATTTGAATATCTTTTGTATTCTTATTGTAAAATCTTTGAGTTGTTGTATGTTGGCACTTTCTATTTTTCAGATACAGCTTTTATTAGGTCCTGAGTCATCTATAGCAGTTGGATGGCAAAAGAAGGAGGAAAAAATGTCTGCTTCTGGAGAGCTGAAGGTACATCTAATTACTTTTTCAACCAGGCAAAACATTAATGACAAAAAAGTCCACAAAACCTTGGGAAATAGTTTGAAGTAAAAAAAATCAAACCATATCATGACTGCTTCAAGTTATGTAGGGTTTTGCCTACAAGCTCTAAAGTCACATGCTTTGACCATTTTTAAAGTGACTAGTTGTTGCTTGATACAGGTTAGCCAAATGCTTAATCTTTGTTATCTGCACTAAGTTTACCTTTTGGTTACAATCAACTGTGAGAGAATAGGACCTATATTTAATTTGATCTGACTTCGAGTTGCCTATGACCAATTGATTTGCTATGTACTTTTCTTTTGTTCTTTCTCATCCTTTTAAACCTCCATTTGTATCATGTTCTATTTTCTGTTTATGTTTAGCTATTTCATATTCCACACATATCACCTTGCTCTTGCTATTTTTAGAAACTCACACTAAGTTTATGCTCATCTCTTCCCCTTTTCTTGTTTGTATATGATACTTGACTGCAGATTGGCACAAGTTCTTTTGCCGCATCAGCACATTATACTTGTCGCTTTTCTTCAAAGTCTCATGGTCGTATTGCAGGTAGATTTGGAAGGTATATGCTCGAAATATTTATAAATGAGGATTTTTTGGTAGTAACTAATAGTATTTGTATTCTGTTTTCCTTGTATTTACTAGTTTTTCATGTTCCCATTTGTACCAGTAGATGTATATAGTGAGTTTTCATTTGTACAAGATAGATCATTAATTGACCAAGTTTGCTTCGCATATAGGAAATGTTATAATCCTGCTTTAAAATTACTATTGTCCATATTATTTGGATGAAGATGTTGAGTGGGAGCACACATTTGAAAGGGAGAGGAAAACTTCCATTATAGGAGCCATCACTCTCAAGAGGTATTTAACCAAGAAAAAAGATAGAGAAAGAAATGCTCCTCATTCTGCACTTGACTGCAGCTTATTAGGAACCACTTCTGATATGCATATTCTTTTATAACTACTTTTAGGAGTTTTTCATGTCACTAATTAGAAACAAACTATTCTGTAGATTAGAAAGTCAAAGCATTTGGGTCATATTAATACTTGCACTGATGGGAAATGACAGCAACTATAAAACTACTGATAGTTTTCATCATCTGTTGAAAAGTAGGAGTAATGCACAACTTCCATGTGATACGAACAGCCAATCAGGAGAAATTTAGGGCACCAGATAGCTAGAAGTTGACAATAGTTTGTTATGTATTCACTTTTCTCTCATATATTTTATGTAAATACTTCTTCATAAAACATGCATAAAATGAATCAATTATTGTTGCAGCACTATGTTAGAGGTTGAAGTTGGCGGGGGAAGGAAATTGTCTAATTTCAGCACACTTCGAATGCTGTACACAATTGGAATTCAGGTATCAAAAAACAGAAGGACCAGATTCAAGTGCTGTGCTTTTGTGTTATTTTTCTATTCCGTCTGTATGTCCTGATTCTTAGAAAACCTGAATGAACCATAGAATTGGTTTGGTGGACATTGCAACCATTATATCATCCAGTTATCCCATCAAGTACAGGGTCCAATGAGGGAGACTTTGCTGTTTGTCTCTCTCAACATTCTTTGACAGGGCAGCCATATCAAAACTTGTATTTGTTACCTTGGCTTGTTAGTTTTCTTATGCTTCTTGGATTATACTTTGGAGAAAATAAAGAAGCCAGAGCTTTTCTGCTAATGGAATCTTTATGTAAATTATGCTATATCAATTAATGACTATAAAGGCACTGGAATAACAGAGAGTGGATAAGTCAATTGCACTAATTTCCTGCAATTTTAATTAGAACATGAATGCAATTGATGCAAAGGGGAAAAAAAAAGAAGAAGCACAATTTATCTATTTTTGTAGATGGGTATTTTTGTAATTTATTGATTTTCTGGAAAAATTGTCCAGTTCTAGGTTATTTTCTATTTAACATTCTACTAGTTCTAAAGTAATTAGCTTTATAGGGTTTTTCCTATTCTAAATAAATTTCTTATATAGGAAAATAAGTCCTTGCTGGACTAGGAGTGCTAGCATCTCTGTATAACAGTTATGCAGTCTTTCAATATTTTAATTACAGTTTATATTAACAATTTGCTTTTGATTATGTGATTCAATCTCCCTTGGGTATGACTGCTAAGAACAGTGTGGCTCCTTAGAATCCTAGGTGTGTTTTCTATGTTTTTTTCTATCCTTTAGGTGTGACTTCTAGAAATCTCCCACATCCTTCCTCATATTCTGTCCAGGATCCACATTCATGCAGCTCTAAACAGCCCTAAAACAGCCTCTAAAGTCAGATCCAGGGCAGCCCCCAAAGCTATCCTGCATCAGCAATGAACTATGTTACCTAGTGGTTAAATCCTCCCAGGTTGTAATGCAAAGATAAGAAAAAATATATATGTTCTTTGGTGTACATAATGGGCCAAATGCATTCAGTTTATAACCCTAACTTACATGCCAACTGATGCACCACCAATATAAGAACTTCTATTTTCTCTTTCTTTTGGCAGGGCATCTTTTGGAAGTTTGAATTGCACCGTGGAGGACAAAAGTTAATTTTTCCTGTAAGAAAATCTCATCCTTTCAGCTATTCATTTTGACATGTCATGTTTGCTTGACATTTTAATCTACTAGTTTTTGTGTCAAGTGTGATGGATATGATATTGTGTTTTCTGAATGCAAATTTTTCCTACTAATATAATAGTGAAAAAGATATTAAATTAATAAAAAAAAATATTAATATTTTACTGCCTTTTAATGTCGGAAAAACAAATCAATTATACATAACACAGTCCTAAAGACATTTTAATAGAGGCAAAAAAATATATCAATCAAACCTTACATAATCTTATAGATATATTCATTTGTTTTGTAATAACCATATGGAAAATCACATCTCTTTGAACATTCAATTTCCAGTGAGATAAACAAATTTGATTACATACCTTCAAATTTCAAAATGTCCTTCTAACCAATAGATGGCACGCATATAAAAATCTCTGCTCATATTTCTTAACAAAAGAATTGTTCCATTTTATATCGTTTTGCACTCCTTTGTCAAGGTTCTAAAAACATCGAATGAATGGAGAAGACCTGTTATAGTATATGTTACCTTAGCATGCTTCTATTTACTTGCAAGAAAGCAATTGGAGCTGATTCCTGTTTGCAACTCAGTATTTCTGTGTTTATGCCTTTCTGCTTCTTGTTTTTTATCATCTTGTTGCTGATGGATTGTCTTGTGCAGATGTTGCTTTCCAGGCATTTGAATCCAGTGTTTGCAGTTGGAGCATTTGTAATCCCAACGTCTCTTTACTTCCTACTCAAGGTTATTACAAATGCAACTCTTTAAGTTTCCTCTTGTATGCTAAACAATTAATTATCTTATTCTTGTTTAAGTTTAGTTCCTTGTTTCTAAGCTGGAGTGATTGTGACTTGCAAGAATGTAATCGAAAATAATATTATCATTTTGCTTTATTCTCCATGTTCACAAAAGCTATCAGCTTAATGTATGCAGTATACACTCAATTGAACCCAGGTGGCAGGAGCCAGACACCTGAAGAGAACTTAGGTTAAATCCTGTTGCAGGAAGGGGTCATTGTGCATTGATTTAACACTTTAACCTTTGACATAAATCTATGCTTTCATAAACCAGATGTTTGGGGGTCAGAACACAGCAGGCAATTATACACGTTTTTTAATTATCATGTCATAGTATATCTGGCTAATTTAGTGTTTGTTTAGTACAGCTTTTCCTTATTGGAATTCTCAGCTTTTTGGGGTCTCCATTTTGTTGATTCATGTTTAGCGGTTGTCATTTATTGCTGCTTACTGCTTATATTAATTTCTACTGAAAATTCTAGTTATCACTTTCCATTGTGCTTGGAATGACAACTGGACTTTGGACTTCGTATGGTTCTCAAGATGAAGTGACAACTGAAACTATTGCTTTCCATAAGTTGATGAAATTGTTTGACCATGATGGTCAAAAGAAGTTTTTGACTACAGAAATGTCACTTGTATACTATCTGCTTAACTATGTACCCTCATAATGGCAGAATTTTGTAGTCAAATCTTATTACCTTCGAAGGGAAAAGCAGAAGACTTCAGAAATTAAAGAGAGATCTTCTGCCCAGGTATGGATTATGTAGGTTGCCTAAGGACGTTGTGGTTTATGCTTTCTTTTGGTTTTGGGAACTTTATAATATGCTAATGTCCAATCTTGATTGTTCCATTTTGACTGCTTTGTGAAAATGCCAGATCCTTGATTATCTGGTTTTGATGCACAATTATGTTAGTAGTTCAATGAAGAGGAATTCCTTAATTGTTTCAGCCACTTTACTGCAAGTACCTTTAGAGGAGGTTCCTAATTCAATGGTATTATAATACTTTATTCTCTTGGTTGTCATCTTCTTTTCAGTAGGCTGTCTTCTCCTCGTTGTGCTGCATGGTCTTTCTAATAGAATTTCTTTCTTTACATGAAAAGAATTATTACCTTTATTTGCATAGTGAATGCTGAGTGTCTGCAAATACAGAGGATTTTAGCATCTGTTCTAAAATGCAATGTCACATAGATTCTGGCTGAAGTTGGTACCTTTACATGCTTCTTTATCCATCTTTCTTTCTTTCTTTCTCTCCCTTTTTTTATGGTTTTCTACATGCTTCATTATTTAGCCTAATTGATTTTGAAGAATGCTTCTGGATCATTGTATAGGTTCGAGAGGCAAGGATTGCGGCAGAAAAGGCACAACAATTATTACAAACTGTGGCCAATAGGAAAAGAAGTAGGCAGTTAGAAACAAATGGACTTGTAATCACTAAAGCAGTGTATGGAAATAGTAAAGCTTTGAAGGAAGCAGATAAATCAAGAGAAGTAAACATTGAATCAGCTTCAGAAGTCATTGATGTTACTATACCTCTTAATTTCTTAATTAATGATGCTGGCCAACTGCAGGTATATTTCATTTAAACCATTTTTTCTTCAATTATATATTAAAATGTGGTTCCATCTGTGGATGTGATAAATTAACATATATGTGTGTATTTATGCAAGTGTGCTTGTGTGTGTGTTAGAGAGAGCTAGTCACATGACCAACAAACTTGATGCTTTAGTTCAAACATGAGAGTGTTGTGGCTAAATGTTGAAGTATGTGGTTGGATGCTTGTTCGACTATTTGAGTGTTCATTTGATGTACTTTTTAATCTACCTAGAGGAAGAATATATGTGCATAAAATAATGCTGTAAATGCAGCCTATTCAGTCTGACATGTTTGCAACTTTCATCTCTGCATCCAGGAGGATCAAGGGATAATGCAGTGAATGCAAATCTGAGGTGTTTTAAGAATCATCCTTGTGTGATGGGACCATGTATTCCATCTGTCATGTTTGATAAATTGCTTGTACTTATATTCGTTATTGCCCAAAGAAATTTGCATGCCTTTGTCCTGAACCAGTGCCTATCACCTTCTTCTTCTTTTTTTCTTTTTTGATAACTTGAAATCCTGGGTACAGCTCCTTGTACTGGTTATATATCTGATAAATTTGATAGGCCTGCTGTATGTTTTCTGGTTACCTTTGATAATATAATTTATGCCAGTTTATTTCGCACTTAGTGTTTACCACTCACACTTCTAGTCTAGATCCCATACTTTTGGCATTTGTTTTAATATGGCGTTGAAAATGCTAGTGCAGCTTCATGAGGGTGTAAAGAAGTCGGGAATTATGGGCTTCTGCGATCCTTGTCCAGGAGAACCTAAGCTTTTGCATGTGGAGTACACTTATGGTGGCCAAATATTTGAGGTACTGTAATTCTCTTTTGCCATTACGTCGAAGGCACGATGATGAATGCTAATTTTTCAACTTTCCATTTTTTAATCAGGTGGAGGTTGATGATTATGCAGCATTGTTGATACCCAAGGATCCCAGAGTATGAATGCCTCTCAAATTAGTGTAATTTAGAACCTGTTACTGCTCAAATTTTGCATCCTTTTACATGCCTTCTGAAGTAACTTAAAGACGAGTGGTTGACACATACTCGTTACTTCATGTTGTTCAAGTAGAGCATGTTCAATTAGAGCATTTAGGAGAATAATTATTTTGTGGTGCATTTCATTTCTAATAAAAGCCAGTTACACATATTTTTTAAGCACTTATCTTCTTTTATTTATTTATTTTGTTATGGTTTTTTATCCAGCAGTTAATTTCAGGTTTTATAGGCATCGAGTGAAAAAACATGCTATATTTTAAGATAGGAGGTTTCCATAACAAGTTCTCATACTCAGATGAATAACAATTACCAGTGATTTTAAAAACATTCACCACACATGCCGTTGCGAGGGTATGAGAACTTATTTTGAGAACTTGTAATATAGTAAAGCACCATGAGCATAGTTTTGAGCTTAGACAGAATGCATATGATACTTGATTCCAGGTGAATCAGCCATCTGCTGGGACGACAATAATATGTTTTTGTTTTGACAAGTCTGCCTTGTGTCAGCCTTGGAAATGTGCTTGCATACTAATTCTAGTGTGGCAATGCTTCGGGGAGCAAGTATAGTTAAAAATGTATTGTTTTAATTTCTAATTTCATATATTTTGTCAGGCATACCATATGATGGCAAATATCATAAATTTGAAATTTTTTATATATAATATTTTGCAGAATGAAAACAATTTTATTAAAAGTATTGGTGTTTCTATCCATAGTTTTATACTTCTAATTATCCTTTTACCTTTTTCTATTCTAATTAACTTACATATTTTATACAACTTTAATGCACAAAGAAAACGGAAGGATGCAATTGATCGCGAAAAGGATGCAATTGCAATAAAAAAAATATATATTGTAATGTTGAATAAAATTTAACTTTCGCAGTCATTAACATGACTAAATGACATTTTGATTTAAAAAGCAAGCAAAGATAACAGATCTTTTTATTGTATTTTTTAAAGTAAAAAGATAAAAACACCTCTCATTTTCTAAATAGATTATTTTATCGTGCACTTATATATATATAACCTTTTATAATAACCTTGTAATTTCTCACTTTTAATGAAATTAAAGTCATTCTATGCAAATAAAAAGCAAAATATACTTTTTATCCTCTATCAATTTTAAAATGTCCAAATGGTTTCAAAAAAATAATTTTACCCTAAGTATTAGCCCGTGAGGTTTTTTGTGAAGAGCAAGTGCATTTGTCTAGGGGAACATTGTTTTTACCACCCCTTAAGTGGTTTTTTTTTTTTTAATAAATAAATAATATCCATACCATTTCATGGGTTTTTCACTGAGAATTTAATGCTTCAGTTCCCTAATATTTCTGATGTAGAAATACCAAGGAAGATAATCGCCATGGACTCAAGATGAAACTTCCATGAAAATGTTTTATAGCTTCCAAATGGTGGAGAGAATTTGCGAGCAGCGAGAAATGGCTGCCCCCCATGATGAACACAAACAACTCCGAGGCATCAGGGAACCAATTAGTGTTTGAATATTTTTTCAGAGGAATCCCATGAAACTAGGGGTTGTCAATCATGGCTTTATTTTTTTTTTAAAAAAAGTTTATCTCTGTTATTTTCAATGTTGTAAAGGCTTTATATAAGCCATGTTTTCCCTTCATTAATGATAAGAGCATTCTCCCAAGTAGTTATTCTCAAAGGTGTGATCAAAGCAGCTACAACGGGGCCTGACCAACAAAGAAGCCGAAGTCTTCTAACTTGCAACAGTATGTCCCAATGGCAGCAGAAGGGGGTGAATTCGGGCAACCTATGAACATAATCATTGGAGCATGCTGATGGTGATTTTCTTGAGGTCCAATGAGTCCTGGAGTCTAGTGGAGAGTGGAAGCACGCAGTATCCTCAAGGAACTGTCCTCACTGAGGCACAACTCAAAGAACTAGACACAGAAGCTGAAAGGCTTAAAGACTAGAATTACCTGTTTTGAGCCATATATCGATCCGTACTAGAGACTATCTTGGCAAAAGGCATTCGGGATTCGATGAAGAAGAAATATCGAGGCACAGCTAGGGTAAAGCGTGCACAAATACACGCTCTTCGTAAGGAGTTCAAGATGCTTCACATGAAAGGAGGGAGAATCTGTCAATGACTATTTTGCAAGAACACTGGCAGCAGCCAATAAGACGCGAATCCATGGAGAAAATGAGGGATATGTGATCATAATTGGGAAGATTCTGAGGTCGATGGCATCTGAGAATGATTATGTGGTTTGCTCCATTGAGGAATCTAATGGGATTGATGGTCTTTAGATTGATGAAATGAAAAGGAGCTTGCTTGTGCATGAGCAAAGAATTATTGGCCGTGTAATGAAGGAACATGCTTTGAAAGTCAGCCTGGACCACCACTCACCTGGGAGAGGAAGCGGCCGAGGAAGGTGTAGAGAACGCGTGAGGAAGAAGGCGACAAGGGTTGAGAGCTACAATTTTCATGAGTTGGGGCATTTTCAATATCAATGCCCTCAAGAGGACACGAAGGCAAACTTCACCGAGGCTAAAGAAATGTTCTTGATAGCTTCTGTGGATGTAAAAGAAGAATAGTCCAACAACTTATGGTATCTTGATTCGGGTTGTGGTTACCATATGAGCGGAGACAAGGAGCTATTTTCAAATTTCGATTGAACATTCAGAGAGAGTAAAAGTGGAGAACAATTCCGGTCTGTGTCATCGGAAAAGGAGACATCAAAATTGAAGTGAATGAAGCTGTGCAATGCATCTCTGGATTGTTCAGTGTACCGGAATTGAAGAGCAATCTCATTAGTTTGGTCAACTACAAGGAAAATAACAGCCGAGTACGAACTTGGTGTCGCTTCACTCACTGGGAAGCGGATACTACTTCCCTTCTTTTTGATATAGTTTTAGACGAGACTACAAGGAAAATACAAGCCGAGTACGAACTCGGTGTCGCTTCACTCACTGGGAGCTGGATACTACCCTTCTTTTTTATATAGTTTTCGACGAGCGTATACATTTCCTCCTCTTTTTTTCAAGTTTAATGCACATCATATACCTAGCAGGTACATTTCGACTTATACATCCACACACATCTTGAGCTCCTCCGCACTTAATTCGAAACTGAAGTTTAAGGAACCTATATAAGTGGAGCAAATAAAATGTAAATATACTACGTCATCAAAAAAAGGAGAGTTGCAAGACTTGGAACCTGAAACCTCTTCTTTTCTTTTTTAATTTCAAGGAAAAATCACAGCAAGACTTCTCATCAACTAGATTTTTCATCACATATTGGATTCCTTGGAGCAAACAATTTTTATGACCATACATGTTTTACAATGAGTTCGCCACTTGATGGATCGAAGAATGCTTCTATTAGTGTAGAACAACAGTAACCTGTGCCCAATCCACGACCTCCAACTGCCACAGGCTGTGACAGAAGCTTCACTCCTTGCTTCCAATATCTCTCATCTAATGCATGTATAACACAGATGAGTTAATGCTAGACAAAAAGGCTTCCAATTACTCTGATAACTAACAAATATTACTTTCAACTATTCAGAAAGGTAGCAATGCAAAAATAAAAAATTACAGAACACAGAAGATTGTCAGACAAATACAACTTAAAGCAGGCATGCTAGGTAGGAAAGCTTTGATTGAAACATCTACTGTGAAGAATAAAATTATACCTGGCCCTGTAGTTAGCACAACAGAATTCTTTGCATCCATCACCCAATCAATCCAAAGCACAAATCCATGGCACATCCCTTGCTCAGTAAATTCAACCTGCGGAGAGCACTCTTTTTCAGGATAAAATAGTAGAATACTAAATTCCACAGATAAAATATAGCCATAGGAATTGCCATACAATGTTCAGCTCAAAAAATCTTACTAATAAATAATTACTACTGTTACATCATAGACATAGTATTTACTAGTAATTTGTCTGTATTGCTTAGTAATAATTTCCGTTGAATGAAAATTGTAAGATGACAAATTGACAATCACTTCTAGTTCGCAAATTATATAGACAATTGTATATCTAATGCACATAACATGAGCTCAAATTTAACTAATAAAATTCAAAGACCATGTTCTAGTAACATGTCATGGGGGAAAAAAATGCAAAGATAACCCTCAGCAGGCTACATTAGTTTACAACATTACTGTTCACATCATTTCATGCCAATGATCTAAGGATACCTCAACATGCAATTAACCCATTCTCATCTACTGCACAACTAGATTGGATTAAAAACCTTAGCTTACAAATTTCATGTGTATGTGGAAAAAATTAACCAAAGGAGAAGATGCACATTCACATAAAACCACAATGAGATTAGAGCACAGAAACCAGCTCCTAAAATAGGGAATAATGTCTCGGAACTTGGATCCAAGGAAACGGACAACCAAATCCCAGCAATAATGTCCCTGATGATCGCTGTTATAGGACAATGACAATGCGAGGTGCAGATTTATTACCTGGGCTTTTCCATAGCATGGACCAATAGATTTTGAGAAATCAAATTCCATGATGGTAAATGTCTCACTAAGTTCCTAAGAAATTCCAATAGAATCATATCAATACAATGATGCTTAACATATTCTGGAAAAGAATACAATACAGCGTTCTTGTAGGCATAATTTACATATATCAGTTACCTTAGTCTCCCCACACTGCCATATAAAGAAAGGCAGAAGTGGACCCTCTAGGGGTGGGGGTAAGTCACCACAGGCTCCTAAGGTGCTATTTACAATTGAATGGTCAAAGTCTTCTATCTTGCTTAAGCAGCGATGACTTTTCCAAAGATCCTGTACAGAAGGTATCCGATACCAGTTCCATCACTAGCCAAATACCAGGTTCAAACAACTAAAAATAACAAGACTGTTTTTCTCTTACTGGAAGGGACATCGCACAAGCCTTCAGCATTGCTTTACAGGGCATTACTAACACATCTTCAGCAAGGACAGAGTCAAGCATGGTCCGTTCCTTCCTAAATTCCAAATCCATGACAAGAAAAAGGGCATCATATAAATTACTTGAATAGATGATGTGCGTTGATACTATAACATATTTGTTCCACTAATGCATTGCTGCATATTAGAGCATACCAAAACCGAAAGTTTTGCCATGGAAGCATCCCATTGTTTCCATAATAGTATGGTTCTCCAATCAATAGATCA